GAATTGTTACTGAGGCCACAGAACCGTTACTTAGGGCACAGAAAGGTTACTCAGGGACAGACACAAATTGTTACTCAGAGACACAGAATTGTTACTGAGGGACACAGAATTGTTACTAGGCCACAGAATTGTTACTTAGACACAGAATTGTTACTCAGGACACAGAATTGTTACTACAGAGGTTACCACACAGAATTGTTTACTTAGGACACAGAATTGTTACTGAGGGACACAGAATTGTTACTGAGGCCACAGAACCGTTTACTTAGGGCCACAGAATTGTTACTCAGGACACACAGAAATTGTTACTGAGGCCACAGAAATGTTACTTAGGGCCACAGAATTGTTACTTAGGACAGGGACACAGAATTGTTACTGAGGACACAGAATTGTTACTGAGGGCCACAGAATTGTTACTTCAGGGCCACAGAATTGTTACTCAGCACAGACACAGAATTGTTACTGAGGGACACAGAATTGTTTACTGAGGGACACAGAATTGTTACTCAGGGACACAGAATTGTTACTGAGGGCCACAGAATTGTTACTTAGGGACACAGAATTGTTACTCAGGGACAGACACAGAATTGTTACTGAGGACACAGAATTGTTACTGAGGGACACAGAATTGTTACTTAGGCCACAGAATTGTTACTCAGGACACAGAATTGTTACTGAGGGCCACAGGGTTACTTAGGCCACAGAAATTGTTACTCAGGGACACAGAATTGTTACTGAGGGCCACAGAACTGTTACTTAGGGCCACAGAATTGTTACTCAGGACAGACACAGAATTGTTTACTCAGGGACACAGAATTGTTACTGAGGGCCACAGAATTGTTACTTAGGCCACATAATTGTTAATCAGGACACAGAATTGTTACTGAGGGCCACAGAATTGTTACTTAGGACACAGAATTGTTACTGAGGACACAGAATTGTTACTGAGGGACACAGAATTGTTACTGAGGGCCACAGAACCGTTACTTAGGGCCACAGAATTGTTACTCAGGACAGACACAGAATTGTTACTCAGGGACACAGAATTGTTACTCAGGGACACAGAATCATCGTTGAATTAAAGAGTATGTCAGACAACATGCAGAGGAGTGGCAGAGGAGGCAATGTTTTAGGAGCGAGCAGACGTGGCAGCAGAGGAAGGGGTCGAGGCAGCACTATTCGCAGCCAGAGGCCAGTGCTCCCGGTGTCATCCAGCGTCGTGTCTCCACCGACAACCCTGCCTCATCGATTGGTTGGCTCGGTCGTCTTCCTCTTCCCAGGTCACCTCTGACACCTACAGCCAACGTCGTGGGTACGTCAGACACAACCGTTAGTTGGCATGGCCCGGGACCAAGCCCACTGAAATCACGTGTCCTCTACCTGCCCCTGTCCTTTGGTGTTCCCTCACCAAGCGAAGTATCGCATGCTGTGGGCTCAGCCCCACTGTACAGTGAGGAAGAGCTAACAGAGGCGGTCAGGAACGGGGGAGACATCCGCCTTTTCAGCAGCCAGGCGAAGAAGTAGTGGCGAGGAGAGTGGCTCGTAGCCGGTCTAGAGACAGGTCTGTCTCCTGACCCAGACGCAGCCGAGGGGGCTAGTAGTGAGGCGGAGACCCTACTTGATGATGAGGAGGTTGATCGCACTTGGCAGCCTCGTCGTCATCAGGCAATTTCTTCCGCGCATCATCAGAGAAGGTGGCAGCTTGGCAGCGAGCAAAACAGTCGTGGGTTGCCCAGGAGACAGCAGCAGGGTCGCAGCAGTGTCAGTGGAGCCAAACGGCCACGGAGTAGAGCACCAGCTCCACTGCAGCCTACCACCACGGCCAGTAGTGGTGCCGGTGTGCACGGAGGAAGCAGCAGTCAGCCAGTGAGGATATCGGGGGCAAAGTTTCCTACTCGCGGTGTGGCAAATTTTCGTCAAGCCGCCCGAGGAAGTAAACGTAGCCGTATGTCGACTATGTGGCCAGAAAGTCAAGCGTGGCCAGGGGCCCATGTTGGGACTACAGCGTTGCGGCAGCATATGCAGCGTCGCCATTTGGTGGCCTGGGAAAACCGTGATAAAGATACGGCGGTTCTGCCTGCCCCAGCCCCCGCTCCATCACCCGCTCCGTTACTTGCTCCGTCACCCGACGACGTCAATCGCCCTCCATCAGCCATCAAGGCTCCAACACCTCTGCTGAGGGGAGTTGTCGCTCGTTGGCATCTTCCGCTCGTTCAGATGCTCCTTCTCCTGCTACTCCTCTTCACGGATTCCGTCAGCAGTCTTTCTTGGAATCCGTTTCCAAGAGACAACAGTTTGCGAGCACGCACCCGACGGTGCAAAAGCTGAACGTCCTCCTGTCCAAGTTGCTGGTGCTGCAGTCCCTCCCTTTCCAAGTGGTGGACTCAGCACCTTTCCGAGAAATGATGGCTTGTGCCGCGCCGCGGTGGAGAGTGCCAAGCCGTCATTTTCTTCGCCAAAAAGGCAGTGCCAGCCCTGCATTCACATGTAGAAGAGATGGTGGCCAGTCTTTGAGCATGTCGGTCTCTGCCAAAGTGCACGGCAGCGCCGACGTGTGGAGCTGTAACTACGGTCAGGGACAGTACATGTCATTTACGGCCCACTGGGTGAACGTGGTGCCGCACAGCCGCACCACAACTTGGACAGGTCACGCCGCTTTTGCCTCCACGTTTGCACGTCCTTGGTCCGGCAAAGATGTCCGCCTCTACCACCTCTTCTTCCGCCGTGTCCTCAGCCGCCACCCCCGTGCCAAGTCCCATTACCCGACCGGCATATCACATGTGCAGGGCGCAACGGTGTCACGCTGTGCTGCACCTGGTATGCCTTGGCGAACGTAGTCACACAGGGGAGGAACTTCTGAGTGTAATGAACAGAGAAATCGACAGATGGCTGTCTCCGCGCAAACTGAAAATCGGAACCATGTTGACCGACAACGGAAAGAACATGGTGTCTGCTCTGCGTCAAGGAAGGTTGTGCCATGCGCCATGCATGGCTCACGTGTTCAATCTGGTTGTCAAGCGGTTCCTAAAATCCACCATCCCACTGCAAGACATCCTTAAAATGTCACGTAAACTTTGCATGCATTTCAGCCATTCCTACACCGCAAAGCACACCCTCCTTGAGCTGCAGCGGCAGAACGGAATTCCACAGCATCGCCTGATCTGCGACGTTGCAACAAGGTGGAATTCAACCCTACACATGTTAGACCGCCTTTACGAACAGCGAAAGGCCATCACCGATTTCCTGATGTTACAAGCGGATAAAGGTACTCCCCTGTGTAACTTCGATGTCAGCCATTGGCAGCTCATGCGTGACACCTGCCGCTTGCTCAGGCCCTTTGAGGAGGCCACGCTATTCGTGAGTCGGCAGGACTATGGGATGAACGACGTCATTCCTCTGTTGCACGTCCTGGAACAAATGCTGTTAACAATGGCTGGTCAGGGTGCGGTAGACGTGGCGCACAGATCTCAACGCCACATGACCCCTGTGGGGCAGGACAGGAAGAAGAGGAGGAGGTAGAGGAGGACATTGTGTGCTCAGGAATTATTGAGTGAAATGGGTGGTTTTTCCACTCAGCGGACAGGAGTGGAGGAGCAGGAGCATCTGGTAGAGGAGGAGGAGGAGGAGACAGAGGACCCAGACGCACCGTGGCAGTATGCTGTGGAGATGGAGGCAGGGAGTCCCTCGCATTCCTTGGCACAAATGGCCCATAGCATGCTCGCTTGCTTGCGTAGCGACAGCCGAATAATAACCATCAGACAGAGGGATGACTTTTGGCTGTCCACCTTGTTGGACCCTCGCTACCGTTCAAATGGTGGGCCTTTTTCACACCTGCTGAGAGGGAGGCCAAAATAACGTACTATAAAAACCACCTATGTAGTCAGTGGTCTCTGCCTTTGTGCGCCAACGTCCATCCTCAGACACTGTGGGCCCTGTGCGCTCGCGTTCCGCTGCCATGGCAGCAGGGGAGGGGTGGGTGGTAGGAGCAGTGGCAGCTCCACCAGCAGCGGCTGCCTCAGTCTGCAGTCGATGATGAGTAGCTTTCTTCACCAGCGCAGTGAGGAAACTACTAACCAGCCGCAGCAGCAGCAGCAGCATCAGGTGGACCTGGAGCAGGACCTCAAACAACAGGCTTGGGCCTACTTGGACAGCACCCTGCCAACCGAGGTAGACAATCCCCTTGACTACTGGGCAACGAAACTTGACCTTTGGCCCCAACTAGCTGAATTTGCCCTTGAAAGGCTGTCATGCCCGGCCAGTAGCGTGGCATCGGAGCGCGTGTTTAGTGCGGCAGGAGGTATTGTAACTCCGCGGAGGACACGACTGTCCACCCAAAGTGTGGAGAGACTCACGTTTGTGAAAATGAATCAGCGTGGATTAGTCTGGATTTCAAACCACCAGTTCCTGACACAACTGACTAAATCCGCCATGAATCATGCCTCAAACATGTGCCACTTTCAGGTCTCCTCACACACTGCTGGTGTGTTCCATTTTTTGTCATAGGGTGCTGGCAGATTACGGGCCTCCCATAGCTGCTGCCAGGCCCCTAATCTGCCATGGGGCCCCTATACCGCCTCCTCATGCTGCTGCCAGGTCCAGAGTCTCCATGGGTCCTGTAACGGCCTCCCATTGCTGCTGTCTCCATCGCCACACTCTGCCATGTGCCACTTTTCAGGTCTCCTCACACTGCTGGTGTTGAATTTTTTGACATAGGGTGCTGGCAGATTACGGGCCTCCCATAGCTGCTGCCCCCCTAATCTGCCATGGGCCCCTATATACCGCCTCCTCATGCTGCTGCCAAGTCCAGAGTCTCTCCATGGGTCCCTGTACGGCCTCCCATTGCTGCTGTCTCCATCGCCACACTCTGCCATGTGCCACTTTCAGGTCTCCTCACACTGCTGGTGTGTTGAATTTTTTGACATAGGGTGCTGGCAGATTACGGGCCTCCCATAGCTGCTGCCAGGCCCCTAATCTGCCATGGGCCCCTATATACCGCCTCCTCATGCTGCTGCCAGGTCCAGAGTCTCTCATGGGTCCCTGTACGGCCTCCCATTGCTGCTGTCTCCATCGCCACACTCTGCCATGTGCCACTTTCAGGTCTCCTCACACTGCTGTGTGTGAATTTTTTGACATAGGGTGCTGGCAGATTACGGGCCTCCCATAGCTGCTGCCAGGCCCCTAATCTGCCATGGGCCCCTATATACCGCCTCCTCATGCTGCTGCCCCAGTCCAGAGTCTCTCATGGGTCCCTGTACGGCCTCCCATTGCTGCTGTGTCTCCATCGCCACACTCTGCCATGTGCCACTTTCAGGTCTCCTCACACTGCTGGTGTGTTGAATTTTTTGACATAGGGTGCTGGCAGATTACGGGCCTCCCATAGCTGCTGCCAGGCCCCTAATCTGCCATGGGCCCCTATATACCGCCTCCTCATGCTGCTGCCAGGTCCAGAGTCTCTCATGGGTCCCTGTACGGCCTCCCATTGCTGCTGTCTCCATCGCCACACTCTGCCATGTGCCACTTTCAGGTCTCCTCACACACTGCTGGTGTGTTGAATTTTTTGACATAGGGTGCTGGCAGATTACGGGCCTCCCATAGCTGCTGCCAGGCCCCTAATCTGCCATGGGCCCCTATATACCGCCTCCTCATGCTGCTGCCAGGTCCAGAGTCTCTCATGGGTCCCTGTACGGCCTCCCATTGCTGCTGTCTCCATCGCCACACTCTGCCATGTGCCACTTTCAGGTCTCCTCACACTGCTGGTGGTGTGTTGAATTTTTTGACATAGGGTGCTGGCAGATTACGGGCCTCCCATAGCTGCTGCCAGGCCCCTAATCTGCCATGGGCCCCTATATACCGCCTCCTCATGCTGCTGCCAGGTCCAGAGTCTCTCATGGGTCCCTGTACGGCCTCCCATTGCTGCTGTCTCCATCGCCACACTCTGCCATGTGCCACTTTCAGGTCTCCTCACACACTGCTGGTGTGTTGAATTTTTTGACATAGGGTGCTGGCAGATTACGGGCCTCCCATAGCTGCTGCCAGGCCCCTAATCTGCCATGGGCCCCTATATACCGCCTCCTCATGCTGCTGCCAGGTCCAGAGTCTCTCATGGTCCCTGTACGGCCTCCCATTGCTGCTGTCTCCATCGCCACACTCTGCCATGTGCCACTTTCAGGTCTCCTCACACTGCTGGTGTGTTGAATTTTTTGACATAGGGTGCTGGCAGATTACGGGCCTCCCATAGCTGCTGCCAGGCCCCTAATCTGCCATGGGCCCCTATATACCGCCTCCTCATGCTGCTGCCAGGTCCAGAGTCTCTCATGGGTCCCTGTACGGCCTCCCATTGCTGCTGTCTCCATCGCCACACTCTGCCATGTGCCACTTTCAGGTCTCCTCACACACTGCTGGTGTGTTGAATTTTTTGACATAGGGTGCTGGCAGATTACGGGCCTCCCATAGCTGCTGCCAGGCCCCTAATCTGCCATAGGCCCCTATATATATACCGCCTCCTCATGCTGCTGCCAGGTCCAGAGTCTCTCATGGGTCCCTGTACGGCCTCCCATTGCTGCTGTCTCCATCGCCACACTCTGCCATGTGCCACTTTCAGGTCTCCTCTCACACTGCTGGTGTGTGTTGAATTTTTTGACATAGGGTGCTGGCAGATTACGGGCCTCCCATAGCTGCTGCCAGGCCCCTAATCTGCCATGGGCCCCTATATACCGCCTCCTCATGCTGCTGCCAGTCCAGAGTCTCTCATGGGTCCCTGTACGGCCTCCCATTGCTGCTGTCTCCATCGCCACACTCTGCCATGTGCCACTTTCAGGTCTCCTCACACTGCTGGTGTGTTGAATTTTTTGACATAGGGTGCTGGCAGATTACGGGCCTCCCATAGCTGCTGCCAGGCCCCTAATCTGCCATGGCCCCTATATACCGCCCTCCTCATGCTGCTGCCAGTCCAGAGTCTCTCATGGGTCCCTGTACGGCCTCCCATTGCTGCTGTCTCCATCGCCACACTCTGCCATGTGCCACTTTCAGGTCTCCTCACACTGCTGGTGTGTTGAATTTTTTGACATAGGGTGCTGGCAGATTACGGGCCTCCCATAGCTGCTGCCAGGCCCCTAATCTGCCATGGGCCCCTATATACCGCCTCCTCATGCTGCTGCCAGTCCAGAGTCTCTCATGGGTCCCTGTACGGCCTCCCATTGCTGCTGTCTCCATCGCCACACTCTGCCATGTGCCACTTTCAGTCTCCTCCTCACACACTGCTGGTGTGTGAATTTTTTGACATAGGGTGCTGGCAGATTACGGGCCTCCCATAGCTGCTGCCAGGCCCCTAATCTGCCATGGGCCCCTATATACCGCCTCCTCATGCTGCTGCCAGTCCAGAGTCTCTCATGGGTCCCTGTACGCCTCCCAGCTGCTGTCTCCATCGCCACACTCTGCCATGTGCCACTTTCAGGTCTCCTCACACTGCTGGTGTGTTGAATTTTTTGACATAGGGTGCTGGCAGATTACGGGCCTCCTATAGCTGCTGCCAGGCCCCTAATCTGCCATGGGCCCCTATATACCGCCTCCTCATGCTGCTGCTGCCAGGTCCAGAGTCTCTCATGGGTCCCTGTACGGCCTCCCATTGCTGCTGTCTCCATCGCCACACTCTGCCATGTGCCACTTTCAGGTCTCCTCACACACTGCTGGTGTGTGTGAATTTTTTTGACATAGGGTGCTGGCAGATTACGGGCCTCCCATAGCTGCTGCCAGGCCCCTAATCTGCCATGGGCCCCTATATACCGCCTCCTCATGCTGCTGCCAGTCCAGAGTCTCTCATGGGTCCCTGTACGGCCTCCCATTGCTGCTGTCTCCATCGCCACACTCTGCCATGTGCCACTTTCAGGTCTCCTCACACTGCTGGTGTGTTGAATTTTTTGACATAGGTGCTGGCAGATTACGGGCCTCCCATAGCTGCTGCCAGGCCCCTAATCTGCCATAGGCCCCTATATACCGCCTCCTCATGCTGCTGCCAGGTCCAGAGTCTCTCATGGGTCCCTGTACGGCCTCCCATTGCTGCTGTCTCCATCGCCACACTCTGCCATGTGCCACTTTCAGGTCTCCTCACACACTGCTGGTGTGTTGAATTTTTTTTGACATAGGGTGCTGGCAGATTACGGGCCTCCATAGCTGCTGCCAGGCCCCTAATCTGCCATGGGCCCCTATATACCGCCTCCTCATGCTGCTGCCAGTCCAGAGTCTCTCATGGGTCCCTGTACGGCCTCCCATTGCTGCTGTCTCCATCGCCACACTCTGCCATGTGCCACTTTCAGGTCTCCTCACACTGCTGGTGTGTTGAATTTTTTGACATAGGGTGCTGGCAGATTACGGGCCTCCCTATAGCTGCTGCCAGGCCCCTAATCTGCCATGGCCCCTATATACCCGCCTCCTCATGCTGCTGCCAGTCCAGAGTCTCTCATGGGTCCCTGTACGGCCTCCCATTGCTGCTGTCTCCATCGCCACACTCTGCCATGTGCCACTTTCAGGTCTCCTCACACACTGCTGGTGTGTTGAATTTTTTGACATAGGGTGCTGGCAGATTACGGGCCTCCTATAGCTGCTGCCAGGCCCCTAATCTGCCATGGGCCCCTATATACCGCCTCCTCATGCTGCTGCCAGGTCCAGAGTCTCTCATGGGTCCCTGTACGGCCTCCCATTGCTGCTGTCTCCATCGCCACACTCTGCCATGTGCCACTTTCAGGTCTCCTCACACTGCTGGTGTGTGAATTTTTTGACATAGGGTGCTGGCAGATTACGGGCCTCCCATAGCTGCTGCCAGGCCCCTAATCTGCCATAGGCCCCTATATACCGCCTCCTCATGCTGCTGCCAGGTCCAGAGTCTCTCATGGGTCCCTGTACGGCCTCCCATTGCTGCTGTCTCCATCGCCACACTCTGCCATGTGCCACTTTCAGGTCTCCTCACACTGCACTGGTGTGTGAATTTTTTGACATAGGGTGCTGGCAGATTACGGGCCTCCCATAGCTGCTGCCAGGCCCCTAATCTGCCATGGGCCCCTATATACCGCCTCCTCATGCTGCTGCCAAGTCCAGAGTCTCTCATGGGTCCCTGTACGGCCTCCCATTGCTGCTGTCTCCATCGCCACACTCTGCCATGTGCCACTTTCAGGTCTCCTCACACTGCTGGTGTGTTGAATTTTTTGACATAGGGTGCTGGCAGATTACGGCCTCCCATAGCTGCTGCCAGGCCCCTAATCTGCCATGGGCCCCCCTATATACCGCCTCCTCATGCTGCTGCCAGTCCAGAGTCTCTCATGGGTCCCTGTACGGCCTCCCATTGCTGCTGTCTCCATCGCCACACTCTGCCATGTGCCACTTTCAGGTCTCCTCACACACTGCTGGTGTGTTGAAATTTTTTGACATAGGGTGCTGGCAGATTACGGGCCTCCCATAGCTGCTGCCAGGCCCCTAATCTGCCATAGGCCCCTATATACCGCCTCCTCATGCTGCTGCCAAGGTCCAGAGTCCCTCATGGGTCCCTGTACGGCCAAAGGCCCCATTGCTGCTGTCTCCATCGCCACACTCTGCCATGTGCCACTTTCAGGTCTCCTCACACTGCTGGGTGTTGAATTTTTTTGACATAGGGTGCTGGCAGATTACGGCCTCCCATAGCTGCTTGCAGGCCCCTAATCTGCCATGGGCCCCTATATACCGCCTCCTGCATGCTGCTGCCAGGTCCAGAGTCTCTCATGGTCCCTGTACGGCCTCCCATTGCTGCTGTCTCCATCGCCACACTCTGCCATGTGCCACTTTCAGGTCTCCTCACACACTGCTGGTGTGTTGAATTTTTTGACATAGGGTGCTGGCAGATTACGGGCCTCCCTATAGCTGCTGCCAGCCCCTGCCAGGCCCCTATATAATACCGCCGGACCCAAGTCCTCAAAACGGCCTCCCATTGCTGCTGTCTCCAGCCCACACTCTGCCATCCTAATCACGCCACTGTCATGCTGCTGCCAGTCCAGTCTCATGGGGCCCTGTATATACCCTCCCTCTGCTGTCTCCATCGCCACACTCTGCCATGGCCAAATCAGGGTCTCCCCATAGCATGCTGCATTGCTTGCTAACGTTTTGTGACATTTTTTGAATAATAACCATCGGGCCTCCCATGCTGCTGCCAGGCCCCTCCATCTGCCATGGGCCCCTATATACCGCCTCCTCATGCTGCTGTGTTTCAGAGTCTCTCATAGGGTCCCTATGTACGGCCTCCCATTGCTGCTGTCTCCATCCCACACTGCCTGGGCCCCATGCGCCACTTTCAGGTCTCCTCACACACTGCTGAGGTGGGGGGTGTTCCATTTTTTGACATAGGGTGCTGGCAGATTACGGGCCTCCCATAGCTGCTGCCAGGCCCCTAAGCTGCCATGGGCCCCTATACCAGCCTCCAGCAGCAGCTCAGGTCCAGTGGTCCATGACCTCAAACAACAGGCTTGCTGGCCTACATGACACACCCTGCCAACCGAAGGTAGACAATCCCCCATACTGTGCCCGAAACTATACCTGCTG